ACCAGACCCGCCGCTGGGGTCAGGAAGACTGGTGCTTCTGAGTGCTAGTTTTTCCTGGCCCCATGGCCTTCGCGCATCGGACACGGGGGCGTCCGTTGCGCATGTTAAGTTGGAAGCGGAGGAGGAGGACGCGCCATGTGTTTCTGGTGCGCCTTACCTGAGAAGGAGATGGGGGAGGAGTAGTCCTCTCCCAAGAAGAGGCCGCTATGGGGCGGCCAGCGCAGGTGGGGCCGCGGATGTATGCGAAAGCGTTCCCGTGGCCCTGCCAATATGCGACGAGGGTGGAACACCATGGGGTTTTAGTCGGTGCGAGTCCGACATAACCCGTCCTTGCCCCCGCGAGGCGGGTATGCGTAGGCATTTCCCCATGAAAAAAAAGGTTAGGTTAGGTCACACTAGGATTTTCTCCTGTGTCGTGGAGACAGTTTACAAACATAAATTGCACGAGGACAAACATCCAGACCCGGAACAATTATTTGTAGGCCATACAAATACTTGTTCCGTGCGGGATTGGAACCCGTAGCCTCGGCGCAACAATTCATTGCTAAGCCACTGCGCCACGGAGCCGTCAATTATTTATTTCATCATTATAGTTAGTGTTAGGTTTTTTTTTATGTATAGTTATAGAAATATCGTCATCATAGGGTGTAACAGGATATTGCGTACACTTTGGAAGGTCATTGATATACAGAATGAAGAGTAATGGTCCCAATATACTGCCCGTTGGGACACCTGAGCTATTCGCCCTAATCTCAGATTTGTACGTCACACTCTGACAGTAGTAATAGTACACCAAATAACAGCTATAATAGAGCTATTATACAGCCCCTTTTATGCTTGTACAGCTACTGTACAGCGCTACTAACGCATAAAACTGAATAATTTGTGCCAATTTTTTACTTATAAGAACTGTATAAGCGCTTATACAGCCTTTGTACAGCCAGTAAATGCAGCCTCTAGTATAAAAAGGAACTCCAATACAGCTCGTATACATCTTGCATGCTGCTTGGGACGTGGCGAGCGGGTGGTAGGACTTCTTTCTTGCCTAGGGGTCCGTCTGGGTAGCTACCACCTTCTTACATATTTATGCCGCCAAGCAGCAGTTTGAAGGGTGTAAAAAGCCAGTATAGTATACAGGCCGTGAGGTATTCAATCTTAGTCCTCCGAGGTGACAACGCATCTGTCGGTTTTGTTCGAAGCTGTTTGCGGGTCCATAGGCTTCTAAGGCCCGTCACATACATACGGAATTCCGTTTCAGAATTCCGAACAGGTCTGCCACACACATATGAAATACCGTTTTGCCCGCAAAATTTCCAACGGAAAACTACTGTACGTGTGTGACGGGTCATAGATTTTATATGAACTTGCTGCGTTCGGAATTCCGAATCGGAATATCGAAACGGAATCTCGAAACGTAATTCCGTATGTATGTGGCGGGCCTAAAAGAGTGCAAGCATTCGTATTTTAACCTAATTAATAATAATCGGCAAAGTGCGAATTGAATTCGCCCATTTTTTTATAGGATAGAGTGACAAACGAGCACACAGTCCATCTGATGGTAAGTGGTTGCTGTGATCCATATATATCTACATTTATCCTCAATAAAGAATCAAAATGCAGATGCGTCGTCACCCGTGAGGGCTAAGAAGGAATGCCTCTTTTCCAGTAAAATGGGTCTCCGGTTCTCTACACTCACCATGAGAAACACACCAGTGTCAAGCTGCCATTTTATTCTGTGAGAGCGTGGTCCTTCCCCGGTCGAGCCGCCCCATTCGTGCTACAATTGGCATGGCTCTACCACGTATAAAAATGAAGGGTTCCGTACCATCGTAATACACGTTTCTAGTAAGGAAGCCCCTTTAATTTTTAATTTTTATCATTTGTTGTTATAGATGCAATAGAAATACACAGTCTATGAAAATTTCAACTAACTGTTACGGATCATGAGATATAGCCTGCTGACAGACAGACAGACGGACGGACGGACGGACGGACGGACGGACGGACAGACGGACGGACAGACGGACAGCGGAGGATTAGTAATAGGATGCATTTCGGGGAGTGTGCGCAGGAATGGCATAATTTAATTCCTACCTCTTCCTTCCACCATTGAACAACCAGATGTTCGGCCAGTCTCCACCCCTTCCTTGTTGATTTACCTCGCATTCGAACCAAATGGTTTGCTACATCGTTTATCATGCGTACAGCAAACGGCTGGAATAAGTTGTCAGCGTCTGTTTCCATCCGATTACAATGAGGGTGTCATCTTCAAGGCAAGAGTGAATAGGCTTTTGTTAAGTTAGTGTGCTTTTGAATAATATAAAAAAATTGGGTTCCGTTGGTCCACCTTGGGTACGGAACCCTAAAAAACGTATCATTACAATTAGTCTATCAGAAGCGAAGATAATGGAGTACGCATGCACATAAAAATAAAGAACCATACAATAAAAAAGCCAGCTCTATATTCGAAGTCGGCTAAAATAGTTCTCATTTCTTTGAAATCTGTTTACATCGACTTTGCCACATAACTTTCCTTCGAAGAAAAAAACAAAAGACAGAAAAATATTTTAATTTCTTTTCCGAAAATATCCGCTCATCAAGCTGACACATTTGTTCATCGTTCGCGCACATCGTATCGAATCGATTTTTAAATATCGTCAAAGATATGCGCTGTGCTGAGTCACAATATTATTATTTTTAAAAAGTACTGTCCACTAAAAGGCAAAAGCAAGTAAATATGCGGCAATGTTAGGGTAACCAAATCGTTTAATGTTTTTCGTAATTAAAGAACATTATTATTTGTTTTTTTTTTTAGATGGTAGAGCCACGCTGCAGCTATATTATGGTTGTAACACGAATTGGTCGGCTCCACCTGGGTAGGATCACTCTTATACAGAATACCAGCGTAAAATAGCAGCTCAATGCTGCTGTGTTTCGTTTGGTGAGTGTAGAGAACGGGAGAACCTCCGTACTGGACTGGAATGCTTGAATGTGGGACGCGTGATATACACCAGTGAAATCGCGGGGCACGTTAGTACTCACATATAACTCGTGTAGAGGCTAAAAACGTGTTCTATTATCGAGGGCGATGTATGAGTGGTGTCTTTTATGTTGGGCAGTATATGAGTGACCTTGATATTGTACGCTGTACGCAATTATTAAAGGGAGGGAGGTGTTCTTCAATCTGATAAGACACCCTATTGTGTTATTCGCGCGTATGTAAACTAATTAATTTTTATAATTATATACTTATATGTTTATACACCTGATTAAGGATATTAACAGGTCGAAATAGTTAAAGACCATTTATTTGTAGTGTAACTTCTTTTATTATTATTTATTCTGTGATATAACGGACTAATCCGAGAAAATGAATTATTATGCGTGGTAGAGCCATGCTACAGCTATATAAGTAGTATAGTTGTAGCACGAATGGGTCGGCTCGACCGGGGAAGGACCACGCTCTCACAGAATACCAGCGTAAAACAGCGGCTTAATGCTGCTGTGTTTCGTATGGTGATTGTAGAGAACCGGAGACCCTTTTTACTGGAAACGGCTCACGGGTGACAATGCATCTGCATTTTGATTCTTAATTGAGGATAAATGTAGATGTTTATAAGCCACAGCATCCACTTACCATCAGGTGGACTGTGTGCCCGTTTGTAACTCTATTCTATTAAAAAGAAGTAATTGGGTAAGAATAATAAAGAGTAGTTACGACATAATTTTTGCAATTAATCATCTTATTGTGTATATTTTTAAATACTAAAAATGTGATTTTGAAACTGATGTTATCAGGAAAATACTGGTGTTCTGGTGTCCATCTCCTGTTCCAGTGTCCCCCTGTTGAATCGTATGACTCCCATTGAATTATATGGGGTAGTGGATATTCTTACACCGCCACTATACAGCGAAGCCACTAAGACAGAATCAATTAAAACGTATCCAGACCGCTCCCTCCAATAATTCCGGCAGTTAAGGGCCAGAGAGGTCTTTCTTTGCTTTGATCCTTAATCCGAAACTCTAATGACACCTACGTTGGGTTCGGGCGGTCAACGAGGCGTATGTGAACCCAGTGAAGGAGTATCACAAAAGAGCGTCTGAAAACCCTTTCTGAAAAGAATAGGTCAGACGTCGAAGATTACGGGTCCTTTTGAAGTGGTCCCTGTCCAGTCGTCTCCATATATATACATAGTGTGGACTGTATGACTGGATGAAACAACATTTATGTTCAAAACCTCTCCGTAGGAGTGTAATTGATTACTTTCCCTATTCCTATCACTTCCCTATGCGTTTTATTTCTTGATTATAAGTATTACTGGTCCGATGAGGCGATCTATGGGGAGCAGTACTTTTCATAGGCTGTAACAGAAACAGTCTCACAGGGCTCTTTATTGCCTAGAGTTACGTCTGAGTTGTTCTTTTTGGATGGTAGCGACAGTAGCGTTAGCTGCAGTGTATTAAGGCTAAATCACGAATAAATCGGCTCCACCGGGAAACGACCACGCACTCATAGAATACCAGCGTAAAATAGCAGCTTAATGCTTTTGTGTTTCGTATGGTGAGTGTACAGAACCGACGACGCGACGCTATTAACTGGAAACAGGGTCACAACACATCTGCATTTTTATTCATAATCAAGGATAGATGTAGATATTTATGGGCAACAGTAACCGTCTGTCAACTTTAATAATCTATATAAAAAAGAAAAAAAGAAACTAAAATGAACTATTTATTATTGTAATAATGATGGACGTATAAAACGTTCATGATTATTTCATTACTTATTATTTTCCTTTTCAATTTCGAAAAAATATGAAAAACAATTCACTATCACACGTATAAAGTTATCTTTAATCGCTTGTTATCGCACAGGTGATAGGCGCTATCACGAAACAGAGCGTCATCACGCGTCGTGTTAGTTAAGTACTCTGTGTTAGTATCGTCCCGCGTTCCGTGAGTGACGAACGTGCGCGCGCGCATTTTATCAGTGACAAACAATGGAGAAAATTTGGATTTTTTTCACTTTGATATCAATATCAATAGGTGTTCAAGGTAAATATATTAATTACTATGATAGTGTAATTTGTGGCGCTATGGGAATTGTTTTTTTGTTTGCGTTATCTCTCGATATCTGATTAGTCGCAAATTATGTTTGTGGATCGAACCGGCAAGATGTCACCACAGATGTCACGCTGTATTTACATTCTATTTTATTTTATTATGTTATTGTATATGATTGGATAACGTTAAGTATTATTTAGTTTATTTAAGCCTTTGTGATAATAGTGACAATTCCTTTAGGATCTGTGCCTTCTATAGATCGTGTGGAGGACACATTCTAGATTCATCCTGGCCTATTTATAATACAGGATTGGTATTATGCGGACAACATCGAATACATTGTATTAGGTTTTAAATAGATCAGTCTTTAGAATAGGTCAGGTGGTATAGGGGTTGGCGTACATGTTTGTCGATTGGAGGGTTCTGAAGTCGTGGCCAGACAAAGCCATTTTTCTTTTTCCGATCTTAACTAAATATCCGATAAGCGCTAGACAATACTTCGTGTTTATATTTCCGTTGTTTTTGTGATATTTGCGTTAATCATATCACTATGATAACTACTGTGTTGTTGATAACTTCTGGTATTTTTTTTTGATAAAAATGCAGTGACAAACGTACTTACAAGCCAATAAGTGGCTACTATCCACGAACACTTGCAGCTAGTTTCAAACAAAGAAGGCTACGGACGCGTTGACATCTCTGTGGATTAAAATGGAATGCCTCATAGCCTATTTTATACCTGGCTCCACATACTCTTCAGATTGAAACACAGCAGTGCTGGCACCGCTATACCCTGGTACCCAGACTGGATGGAGACCAGGACTCCTAGGCAGAAAGGAAAAAAATGATGAAATTTTTACTAGTGACCCGCTTCGCTGACCCTGCTTCGCATGGATGGCATCTAAAAGATAATCAAAAACCATTTATTTAAAAAAAAATCGTTTTAAAAAAATATATATATCTAAATCTTCTATTCTCTTCTAAATCCTTCCTGGCATTCCTCTCTATCTATTCGTAAAGTTTCATCAGAATCGGTTAAACCATTTTGAAGATTAGTCCGGACAGACAGACAGACACACAGACAGACATAGAGACGGACAGACATAAAGATTTAAATTGCTTGACCTTGACGCATCGAGAGTAATGCACGAAAGCGTTTTCATATCGTTTTCGTTCTGGAAATTTCGACCTTCAGAACCAAATCCGTGGACGGCCGGAGACCAAAGTGAAAAATGAAGAATTAAGGGCTATTGTGGAAGCGAATCCATCACAAAGCACTTCAGAGATAGCCGCAGGCTTCGGGGTAAGTCATAAAACTGTATTAATCCACTTGAAGCAAATCGGGAAAGTAAAAAAAACTTGAACGATGGGTACCTCATGAATTGAGTGAATCGAACTTGCAAACACGCGTCGACTGCTGTGTTACTTTGCTCAACCGACACAATAATGAAGGCATTTTAAATCGAATTATTGTGATGAAAAAGGGATACTGTACCTTCTAAATCCTGCCCTAAACAAAAATTGACTTAGAAAAAGTTATTTGTGAGTGTTTGGTGGACTAGCGCCGGTGTCGTTCACTACAGCTTTCTAAAATCTGGCCAAACGATTACGGCAGATATCTATTGTCAGCAACTGCAAACCATGAAGGAAGAACTAGCTGCTAAACAACCGAGATTGGTCAATCGCTCTAGGCCACTGCTGCTTCACGACAACGCAAGACCACACACTTCACAACAAACAACTACTAAGTTAGATGAGCTACAATTGGAATGTCTGCGACATCCACCGTACTCCCCGGACCTTGCTCCATCATATTACCATTTTTTCCGGAATTTGGACAGCTTCTTACAAGGAAAAAATTCAAATCGGATGCGATAGTCCAAATCGCCTTCAAAGAGTTTATTGATTCTCGCCCCCATGGTTTTTTTTAGTAAAGAGATCAATGAACTACCTATGAGATGGCAAAAGTGCATAGATAACAACGGTGCTTTCTTTGATTAATTAAATATTTTACAAAAAAAAAAATTTACTTCTATCCTATATCCTAAAACTGACTCCTCCCGTACAAAACGCCAATTTCATATGTAAGGACCTAATACATAAATCGATACGTACGTTTATATTATGTTCTTATCAAAAACCGAACATCTTTGTGTTATCTATACTCGCAGTTATCACTGGAAATAATAAAAAAAACTCTCGTCAAGCACGTACCAATGCCTTTCCACGTGACCGGCAGTGAACAAAACATCGGGAGGAAGACTTGACCTAATAGAGCAGTATGGTGTCTCTTTTATATCCTAAAACCCTCTCAAACTGGCCTGTGCCCAGTAATAGGACTTACGAAATGGGACTTTTGCCTTTCTGAAATAAAGTACACCAACTTGTACAAAAAAGTTGTCAATGAGGATTATTTTTTTTCCATAAGTTTTCGTTGTTTTTGAATTTAGAACTTCTTTAGAAAAGTTGTGATTTGAAATTCGATGAAACGAAAAAGCGACACTGAAAAGAGACACTCATATACTTCTATAGGATTTAGCTTGCGCGAGAATGAGATAGAAGAGAATATACAGTTTTTATTATAAATTGCTTTATATTTTAATTACATAAACTCTACAATTGTCCTACTCCTGGTACTCTGCATTTGTCTCACTCTCTCAAAGAATAGTTTTCTGAAAGTTTCACTTCTACCGCGTGCGAACTACTCACATGTTTTTAACTTTCCCTTTTTTATATTTAACTTTTTTAATCAGGAAGATGATTTTATTATGCGAATGTGCAATGCACTAGTGTCATGTATTTTCGGTCGTCGCACCCTGCATTGTGAATTGCTCAATGGCATCCGAATTCTGCTTTGTCACTAACCACTTCCTGTTTATTCATCGAGATCTATTGCGTTATATATTGCACATTGAGCTGGGCATACATTGTATTTTTCATTATTTTTACGTGGTAGAGCCATGCTGTAGTTTTACAATTGTAGCACGAATAAGTCGACTGGGAAGGGGCCACGTTCTCACAGAATATCAGCGTAAAATAGCAGCTTAATGATACTGTGTTCCGTATGGTGAGTGTAAAGAATCCGATACTCTTTTTATTGGAAATGGGGCATTCTATCTTAGTAATTAGGGATGATAAAACATTTGCATTTTATTTTTAATTGAGGCCACAACATCCACTTACCATCAGGTGGACTGTGTGCACGTTTGTCACCCTTATTCTATAAAAATAAAAAATAAACATAAGGCATTATTTCGTCCACTCTTAGTAAACTCTAAGTTATGTGAAACGATTTTGATAATTTTTACTTGAAAGGTGGTGTGTCATGTAGTCCCATATAAATTTGATCAAGATCTGACCAGTAGTTTTTGAGTTATCCTTAATTATTCGTATTTAATTGACTTCCACATTGATGATGTTATAATTATTTATATTGAAGTGGGTTGTGCAACATTTTTAATTTTACTACTTGTACATATAAATAAAATGCACACAGGAAACCATCGAGACGCGGAACAATTATTTTTTTAAATAAAAGTGAAATGACCATCAAACGGTAATTTGCGACCAACATCAAACAAAATAGAACCATACAGATATGTTATCGCCACCATGATCGAATGGCTTACAGCCTGTTATTACACTTGATCCTTTAGACCGGAACGCATGTACGAACGTAATGTTTATTAAACTTAGTGCATACCCTACAATGTTGCACGTCATACGCATGACATAAATCGTTTGTTAGTTATACAAGTTTAAAGGTTAAAGCAGTAATTTAAAAAAAAATATATGCGCAATTCACACGCGGTAGAAGTGAAACATTATGAAAAGGAGACCGAAATAATAGGAAACACTATACCGTAGTCTATCTCATTCTCTCGCATGCTAAATCCTATTAGATGTATATGTTTGTCTCTTTTTAGTGTCGGCTTTCTCGTTTGATCGAGTTTCAAATCGAAACGATTCTAAAGAAGTTTTCACTTAAAAAAAACCCGACTGCGTAAAAAGTTTACTGAAAAGAAAAGAAATATACCCTATGTCACTTCCACATTTAAGAAGAATCTAACGACGCACAATATGTAAAGATCCATCTTGCCGATTAGGCCGCCTTCCAAAGACATAGACATATACACATATATATATATATACTAACGAAAAACTTCTGGGGCAGTCAAAAGAAAAGAAAAAAAACATGCAGTGATAAATGGAAATGGATATCAAATTGAAAAATCACTTTTCATCAGTCATCTCTACACATAAAAATCAATGTTGTCCATTGTCCATTAGTTTCGCAAGCCCTCGAAAATGGCTCGGCCCTGAATATATATATATATATATGAACTGTACTGCAATCCGTACTGTGTGTCATTTAGTGTGGTTTCGCATCTACTAGTTAGTCTGTGGTTTCAATATTCATACAGTGTGGAGCGTCGCTAATAATACAAGGTTTCAAATTAAGGTTTAAACCTGGACTTAAATAACAATTCAGTAGTCAAGTAAATAAAATTATTTGTTGTTCAAGTGAATAAATAGGTAATAATATCGTAATATTACATACTTACAACTGCGTCTACGCGACTTTACTAACTCCCGCTTCTTCTTCTTCTTCTTAATAACTGGCTTTACGGCTCTGGGATCTAGCCCTTCTGAGCCTGAAGTTACAATATTATATTATAATAATTGTTTTTCATAGTATACTGCTTCACAATATGTTGATGCACTAACTCCCGCGCATGCGCGAAGACATAGAGTAGTGCACATTTTTTGTTTAGAAAGTCTTCTCTAGGACGTAGTACATATAACCCAATGGGCTCGGCCGATTTTGATGAATTTTTTTGTGTGTATTTGAGTGGGTCCCTGGATGGTTTAAAAACTCTGTAGGTGACGCTGTTGCCGAGATCCAGAAATTACCCGTGAAAAGTCGGGGCGGATCGCTAGTCTTGTATAGTAAAACTTGGTTAAGTGGTACCTGGATAAGTGAGAAACCT